TTTTTATTATGCTGGTACTCTTTTTGAGATCTGTACATATGCTAATGAAAGAAACAATAAACGCACCTCACTGATATTTTACTTCTCAAAGCTTGTAACACTTGTCAAAACACTTAAATTGTTCAAAATATAGTGGGAGGGGGCAAAGTAGTCAAGATTTTGGCTATTCTGTCAAGAGGTGTGATGTCATTCCCATTTGTTAAATTTGTGTCACTAACTTTATTTTGTGTGGGTCAAAATCAATTTGATGTGGGAATTACTGTCAAACAATGTTACCGGTAAATTTAAAAACAATTTAGAAGGAAATCAGCGTAATAAGGCATCATCCTGTGAACTCCATTTTTAGAGTTGGTTCTTCAGTAAAAAGAAGTAAAATATTATGAATAAATATAATTTTATACTTATATTTGAGTTCAATATTACCCACATACAAAGCTAGTACATCACTGACATCCTGTTTCCACTCTTACCCATTATAATAGGCTTTGTTTTCTTCTTCCTTAGATTTCAACTTGTTTATTTCATTTTGCAATTCTGTGAAATCAAATAACAAAACAAACTGAACCCAGTAAAAACTTAAAGCAGGGGAGTCGTCACCTACTCATGCATCAGGTGGCCATAGCATGTCATTGTTTACAAACAATGGTTTACCCATGAGCCTTTGCGTTCTTAGCGTGTGTTGTTATCGTCGATTGGGACTCGACCTTCTCGCTTTAACTCTGTGTCAACCAAACATATATACTGTAATTGTTCTATTGGTAGTGCATGTGCTTATGTAAATATGTATTCTGCAAGTACTGTGGAATTATAGCATGGATTTAAATTTTTGCTGAAGATTGCTTTCATTAATAATTCAACAAAAACATCTAATTAAACATTCATGAATATTAATCACCAAAATACACAGACTGATACCAACCAATAAAAAATTATACTGCATCTATCTTGGACTTACTTTGAATTTGTTCTTTATGTGCTGCATGAAGCTTGTTGAATAATTCATCAAAATTATCAGAACTGTCATCTTTATGATCCATAATGTTGATTAGTTGAGAACAAACATGAATAGAAGAGAGTATTTGTCTGAAATAGTTTTCTTCCTATGGTTTGCACGTAATGTATGGCTATTAAATCAGTGAAAATACTTCTATCCATGCAAATACAAAAATAAAATAACACAGAGACAAACAATTTAGTAAATAAACCACAAATCAGTATAAATTAAAATAAGAAGACTAAAAAGTGTTATTAACATGTTATCTTTAATTAGATTGGCATTTATAATAAAAAAATTCATAAATAATATTGCACAAATTACAGGGTCACCCACATTTTATGTAAAGTGAACAAACAATTAATTAATATTGCCTTAAATTTTTAACAATCGACTTTTTTACCTAAATTATTATTCATGTTTTTCTTAATATTCTTCAATATTTCTGGAAATGAACCTTAATTAATGATTTTGAAATCAACAGACAAAATTTGAGTAAATTTTCAGTTTTTATTTAAAAAAAATTGGCTATTTTGTCCCAAGTTTCTGAAGGAAAGTGCAGACTATAAACAGGACTACTTTGTGAATTTGTGACGAAAAGAGGGAACTGGTGATGAAATTCTAGGTTTATTGAAACACTTAAAATTCCTCAGAAGGAATTAAAATGGTTACACTAACTGCTAAAACACATATATGTATAACATACAAATTTTACGTGAAATTTATAATGTGCTTAGTAGTCTCTTCAATAATGCTTTCCGCGTTTGTTCGTAAAAGGGGCATTCAATCATGAAATGGTACTCATCTTCTACTTTGTTAATTGAACACAGTTCGCAGATTCTTTTTCCTATTTCGGTTTTTGGTTTGGTGTACCTCCCTGTTTCAATTTTTAGTTTATGATTGCTCAGACATTCAGACAGACTACTTAGACATTCACCTTAGTTCGGCATTCTTTATTTTGATCATATAATTTTCTAAAGTAAATTCATTTTTGAAATTTTTGTACGTTCTCAGTTTATTTCTTCTGTTATTGTTATTTTGGTTAACATCAGTCCCTATGTTAATTTCCCTTTTCCAGTATAATTTATATATTTTTTCAACTTCCAAACCTAATTTCTTGGTTTCTCTCTCGTTCAGTATAGTTGTTGTTTCGATAATTTGTGGTTGGTTTATTTGAGTTA